CGAGAGCCCTGCTCCAACCACTCCTGCAGCCCCACGCTCCCTGGCAGCCCTGGCCCTTCCCCTCCCAGCCGGCAGCGGACACTGGTTCAGAAGAGCTCAGAGCAGGGCTCTTTTTTTTATTAATTTCCCACACTCTCTCAAGTGTATCCAGATCAAACCCTTCCTGAAATGCCTTCCCCACTCCAAATGAGTCCACTCCTCCCTGTGGCTCTGCTCCCCCAAAGCTCTCCTCAGACACAGGCAGCCCTGGCACTCGGACACCGTTGCACCACAACGACTGAGCCCGGCGAAGCTGGGTAGATTGTTTTCAAGTGCTTTGGAGGCCGCCTGCAGAGCATTTGAACATCTGGTCACCACCACCCTGTAATCTGCCTTCATCAATAAAAAATCCAGTTCTTCTACTCGTGTGCATGTGGTGCCCAGCAAGAGATGAAGCTGTGGCACACACCTGCCCGCTCCCAGCGCCCTGCCCCAGCCCAGTGTGGGCTGGGATGCTCGCTGGCCAGTCCACACCCCAGGAGGAACGCAGCCCACCACTCCTGGCTCAGGAGCCCAAGCTGGCTTCCAGAGGCTCCCCAACACAACTGCTGGCTCATGCACTTCCCACTCCTCCCACCTTGCAACAGGTATGCCCTAAGGCCTTTTTCAACAGCTTGATTCCCCAAGCCTTGTATGGAAACAGAGCAGGGATGGCTCTGACCCTCACTGCTCCAAGGCCTCCCGTGCCCCATGGATTTGCAACAGGGATCCTCCGAAGGAGAGGCTTGGTGCCTCCCAGAACAGTGCTGACACATCCCAGCTCTCACCCCTGAGTCAAACACTCCCCCACCTTTGGTGGGCACCCATCCACCTCAAGCAGGGACACAGATCCTCCACCTTCTGGGGCTCAAGGTCACTTCCAGCCCGTGTGGACAAGGAGCAGGTCTGCAGGGCCCAGCCCCACGGGTTCCTGCTGCAGGGAGGCTGCTGCAGCCAGCCGGGTGCTGGGGAAGGGCAGCCCAGACCACTGACCTGGTCCATCTCCCCCAGGAAAGGGGGAGCACTTCCTTGCCACATCCCAGACCTCTCCAGCAGGTCAGGGGATGGCCCTACCACCCAGACCAGGACCTACACAACTGGAGCATCCAAAACCCCAGCCAGAAGCCCCACTGGGTTGTTGCAATTTGTTTCCAGAGCAGTATTGCCTCAAGCCCTTTCAAAGGGAAGAACACCCCTCTACAGCAAGGGGATCCTCCATGGCATGACCTGCTCAAGTAGCCGTGCTGCTATGCAACAGCTCCCCAGCCTGCCCTTGACCGCCTCTACACAAAAGCATCAGATTTTTGGGGTGCATGAGGATGGATCCAGCATGCTGGCTTCAAGAAGAGCTTTAGCCAAGCCCCCGCTCTCGTGAACAGGCTCACTTGCTTGCAGGCAGCCCAAGTACCAAGCAGTGAGCTCAGACCAGCAGGGTTTGCCTCTGCAGGAAGGCACATAGAGGAAAGACAGCAACCCCAGCAGATTCCTCCAGCCCTGCGTGGCTGCCAGGCAGGCCCCGCACAGCCAGCAACGCCTCTCCAGCCCTGGGTCCCCACCTCTGCACATCCCCTGGGAACGGCCAGAGAATGTGGAAGCTAACAATGAAATGTGCAGGGCCATTAAGGGCCCCAGATAAGGGGCCAGAGCAGCTGTAAGGCTGTTTCCTTCCCGTCCCTTCCACAGGGAGTAAACACAACAGCAGGGGGAAGGAACAGAGCAGGTCCCTTGCCTGCCAGCTCTCCTTGTCCCTTTGCACTCATGAACGCCCCTCCAGCCCAGGCAGGAGGAGGTGTGGGGACACATACAGGCCCTCCCTCCCCTTTGGACCACCAGGACAGAGCAGAAAGCGTTGGGGAGAGAGGATGCAGCCGAGGGGCTTTGAGGGAGCCCGTCACATCAGGGCAACCAGAGGAGGGGCTGGGCTGTGGTTCCAGGCTTGGTGGAGCCCATGGCTCTGCAGACCCACTGACACTGACCAGCTGATGTTCAAGAACAGCCACCTGAGGCTCTCTCCACAGGATTGGGCCACATTAAGCAGCAGGGTAGTGACTCTCGAACATCTGGAGCCTGCCCAGCACACATGGTTGTCACTCCTGCCCCGAACAGCAGGCATGGCTCCATCACGGACAAGAGGTGCCCAGCAGAACAGGATGCCCGCTGCCCCAGGGGGCTCTCCCAGCTCTGTTCCTGGGGCCTCCGCCATCAGGACACACCACCTCCCTCTGCTCTCGTCCCAGCCATCTAGTCTTCATCGATCCAGGATTAAAGACATAATTACTGAGAGGCAGTGCCAGGTCCAGAGAGGTTAGCAAGCGCCGTCCCCAGCGCTGCCCGCAGACGCACGCCAGCGCCATCCCAGGCTGGAGCACAGCCCTTCCCTTACAGCTGGCTAACATGCAAACCCCAAACAGCCACCCAGCCCTCTGCCCCCCCAGATGTGGAGAATTTGCCCCAGATCCCTCCCCCAGCAGCTGGCACACCAGCACATCAGGGACAGGGGCTTCCTGGGCACAGCACAGCCCCTCACCATCTCCAATGCCAGCACAGGGCACTGGTCATCTTCAAAGCAAGGAAGGAGAGGGAGGAGCAGAGCCTCAGCTACACAGCCCAATCACGCCAGCCAGCAAGCCGCTTGTGACAGCTTGAAGCCAAGTACGCCGGATCCCGCAAGGGTGAAATTCCAGGGATCGCTTTGCGCCCGTCCCCCCCTCCTCCTCTCCAGCCTCTGAAGATACAACTATAGAGCATTTTTCCAAAGCCAGACCCTGACCATCTTTGAGGACGGCTGCACGAAAGCCTTTTCATCATGAGAGAGGCACTTGCTGACACACCCGTTACTTAAAAACCCCAGCAAGCCAAAAATATTTCAGCTGGCTCGGTTCAGGGCAAGACAAAAAACCTAAAGACAAAACACACCCCAGGGCAGAAGCAGCACCCAAGCACTTCCCCTGTAGCAATCAGCAAGCGGGGACCCCCAGGGACCAATGCAGCTGCCCAGGGAGCTTTACATCCAAGTCTCTCCAGTCTCATCTCCCAAATTCCTGGCACCAGCACAGCTCTGTGCTGCGCCCGGAGGTCCTGAAGCCGGAGCAGGTCCACCAGAGAGGTGTCCACCGTGCAATGCCTTTGGAGAAGAGTCCCCTTCTGCAGGGAGGCAGCCACGAGCCGATCTGCATGCACAGAGCTTCCCTCCACAGGTACCCATCATGATCTTCCCAGTCAGACTAAAGGCTTGGTAGTAGCCAGAAAGATGTCCTATGCCCTGACCAAGCCCTCCAGAGCAATTCCACTGGGGGCAGCTTTGACGTGGCACATTTTTCCAAATCTCCTTGCCCCTGCTTCACAGGGGAAATGCCTTCCCCGAGAACAAATCCTTTGCCTGGAAATATAATTTCCAGGGCCAAACCACAGCCATACCCACCCAGGGTTCACCTGCACACTCCTCTGCCAGAGGATGGAGTTCAAGCCTTGAAGGCTCCCCACCAGGAGCTGCTTCCCTGTCAGCCACAGAGATTAACCCTGGGGCCCAGACCGAGCTGGCAGATGGGGAATTGTACTCCGCAGGCCAGGGAGAACGGACAAGCTCCAGGGAGAACGGACAAGCTCCAGCAGGTACAACACAGGCAGGGGGGTTCGGCCCCCCCCCGCCACAGAGCAGGGAATCTCCAGCACATAGTCCTCTGCTTGGGCCTTTCCAAGGACCTGCTCCACACCCGAGTCCCCAAAGAGCTATCACCCAATGGTCCCAGGATCCCTGGAGCCAAGGCCACTCCCTCAGCATGGACGATTTTGGGCAAAGTTCAACCCAAGCAGCTATGAAGCCAGAAGCCACCTCTGCCCCATCAGCCCTGCCCAGCTCCCTGCTAAGGGACACACCAAGTGCTCGCTTCCACCACCAGGGAGCAGGGGACGGGGTCACATGAGCTCTGACTGCCAAGTCCCAGCCCTCCCTGCAGCTCTACTTCATGTTTGCATCCCCCCAGGCACCTGTTAAGCAAGCGGCAAGGTTTGTCACCACAACCAGACACCCCTCACAGTCCCCCCACTGCCATGAGGCACGAGCAAAGCAAAGCAGCCCTTATCCTCCGGCTCATCACCATCAGCCCTAATCAGAGCCAGGACCCAGCCCCACACCTGAGGTGGCTGAGCCCCTGCAGGGACACCAGGAGCTCCAGGCCCCCAGGCCAGACCCACCCACCAGGCTGACAAGGGATGCGCTGCCCGAGGGACTTGCTCCTGCTCCAACACGGTCCCCAGCACCAACCAGAGAAGAAAAATGGCAACATCGCTCACATAACCCACCTTGCCCTATCCATTCAAGGGGCTCTGCAGGGAGCCAGCTGGCTGCCCGCCCTTTGAATGCAAACGTCAACAGCTCTCAGCACCAGAACCCCGTCCTCGAGAGCAAGAGGAAGCAACCAATTCCCCTGGTTCCAGTTGCCCATCAC